GAAGACTGACCCTTTTGGCTCACTAAAATCTAAAGTATCTTTCCAGTCATAGCTCAAGGACCCATTCTTTTAGGACTCTTTTCACAACCAGTTAGCAAACCCCATCAAAACTAATTTGATCTTTTCTCTTTGCCTATGTAGTTGACACAAGTTCAATTAATAAGCACCTACCACATTGACGGGTACTAATTTTCCAGAGATGAAATAGACGTTATGCCTGTGGAACTAATAGATAAAATAGACACAATCCTTCATTTTCAGGCTCTTACAATTTGATGGGGGGGACCAGAAAATAGAAAATAGGATGTAATTTCAGTATCAACTGATTGGAGCTTTTCACTAATTCCTCCATTATTTTATGTATTTTATTTTCATAAGTACCATAATAAATTGCTTACATATTTTTTTTCACTAATTATAAACTCCATGGAACCAAGGATGCATGTCACCATGATGAGAAGCTCATGATTCGGGGTGGGGGGAAGGGAGGAGAGGAATCAAACAATCGTAGACCATGGCTTTGGCATCAGGCAGCCCACCCTAAACTCAATTTTCTTGCCTGTTTACTAAGCAATCTGAAACACATTACTTAACTCCTCTAATTTTTATTGTTCTAATCCATAAAGTAAATTTAATAACAATGCTTTACATATTTATCATAAGGATTAAATGAAATAATATATGTGCAGCTCCTAGTGAAATGCCAGATGAATGGATGCATATAGTAGGCAATTAATGAATGGTTATTTAATAAAGTGCACTCATTTTCCATTTTATTTTCTCTTTCTATATAGAAAGAATGGGTATTGTATACAGGCATAGATATTACAAATACATACATGTGCACATATATGTAATTTCTTTTACTAGGAAATTCCACCCATGGCAGGGGGATGACCAATTGTTCCAATTTATTTTAGCAAAATCCTATAAATTATGGCTTTTGAAAACTATTTGCAAGACTGGAAAATTAGTGTCTGCATATTAAGTTAGCTTAAAATATATGAATTAAAGAAAAGAGGCAGACAGAATGAGAAGCAAATGAATTGAAGTGACAGTAATAAAGATTTCCAGAAAACCACATTATAGAAATCAGTGGTCTTTATTTTTTTCTGAATGTGACTGAATTAAATACTATGATTCTTTAATTCAAAGTGAAAGAAAGAATTAAAACTGAAAATCATGTCTTTCACATCAAGTGAAGCTGCATGGTCCTATAACGAGTAGGGTTTATCGTGAAAGATCTAGGTCTGAGCCTGAACTCTACCTGTGCAAAGTATGTGACTTTGGGAAAGTCATGGAAATCATCAGATTCTCCACTTCCTTACTGAT